GACAAGAAGGAGCAGAAGAGGGAAAGGAAAAAAACATCAAGTATCAGAGATCAGACATGCAGGTCTGAGAAGACATTTCCCTTGTGTTCTGTCACTTGTCTGAGGAAGCACATGACACTATGATTAACCATCTGATCACAGCCTCAAGTATCCCTGCGTGCTCTCACTAACACAGACATTCACAGGAAGGTTCACTCAGGGGCCTCTTAAAGCTCCCATTCTAGCCACTGGGTCCATGGGAAGGCAAGCTGAATCCTGTCAACATTTAAACGGAGACTGATATCAGCTCTCCCTACACTTCACCATAATCTGCTGCACTGCAATTTCCACTTCACTTAGCAAGAAAACTAATCTGTTCATTTGAAAAAAACAACTAATAAATAATTCGCATCACAAGACATATACACATACTCCACAGGAAGGGAAGTATTTCAACTGGAAATCTTATTTATGTGTACTTACTGAGATTGTACCATTGTCTAGACCTATGGACAGTCTTCTTGTTTCCGGGTTAAAAGACATGCATGAACATGGAGCTGAAAGAAATGAACATGTTGATGAAATTAACAAAATGATGACTCTCATGATTCAGGAGTGACTAACTAGCTAAGAGTGTGTGGCTATTTTTTCCCCATTATTTCCTGAAAAACAGTTCATTTAACGCCCACTCACCAAAAAATAAAAACAGTAATCTTACAACCAACCCCTAATTTTTTTTAAGTTATCCTTTTAATGAATATAACGAGTAAGATATTCTCAAACTGGACTAGTTCCAAGGTGCTTGGTCTCAGCTGTTCCGTCAGTATGGAATCGAAATTTGGTTGAGTAGATTAACAATATTTTGTGCTGTGTAATCCCTCTGCCCTCGATCTATCTCTTCCACTCAAACCCCATCTTTAATAGAAACAACCTATCTTTTCTCAACTAGGGAAAAAATATAAAGAAAGATCTTATAATTCCCTCCGTCCCTCATGTACACACACTAGTATAAAAATCTGGTTTTTGATTCCGAATTGTTTTGGGGCATGTGGACTAAGAGAACAAGTCTTTTTACTCTCAGCATTGAAGGCTGCTGAGTGAAAAAGACTGAGGATCTGTCTTGTTTAGGGGAACCACCTGGACACAGGGCCAGGCTGCATAGGAAAAAAATCAAGTCTGGGTAGGGCCTCCCTGTTCTGCAAAATTGGCTACTACCTGAGTATACCTGAGAAGTAAACTGAGCATAACTTGAAGCCAGTGTGGGCAAGAAGTGCTTACTGAGCAGAAAGCTTCCCCATCCCTGCCTTCTCTATTGCCACTGGCTCATAAGAATGGGGCCTGTTGACAATTTACGCTACACTGAAATAGTTGCTCTAAAAACAAGTCCAGCACAATTTTTAAATTTCTCCTCCGCCCTCACAGTAGCCCCATACATGACAAAGTGCTCATCATCGTAATCAGAATCAGCCTCAGCCAGCTTTACTCCTACTTTCCAGTTATGATTAGATGTCTTACTCAAGGTCACACAGGAATAAAGAAGTTGGAGAAGGTTCAAAGACTTCATTCAAACACGCAGTCCTATTTTGAAATACCCTACTTAGATTACCTCTAAACTATAAAAGAATTTCAAGTTCTACTAAGAGAGCCACTGCATAACAGATCACTTAGTAACATTTTTTATTCTCTATAAAAGGACCCTGAACACAAAAAAGATCTTTCAAACCGCATGAAGTATTTGCTTTTTTCTAATTTTCAATCGTGATATATTCAGAAAATGGAAACACAAAGAATAACTCCCCCCTCCCCCACACTTCTACCAGAACAGCAGAGTATCTTTACCCTGATCAGCCACAAAATTAAACTGGATTCCCAAAAGGACACTGCTGCAAAAAGTAGTCAAATGATATTTAACGCACTGCCCTAAGGAAGTCATTCTTTCTCGCCTGTAACCCATCAATTATGTCGGCACAATTTCTAGGCAGGTTTTAAGATGCAAGGTCTCATAAGCCTATAACATGTATTCAGAATTAAAATCTAATGATTTCGTGGAAAATTATCATGTTAGCTGAAAAGAACAAAAGAAAAAATACATTGTGATTACAACCACAGAAAGTACATGGACACCTAAAAACATACATGGAGAAATGGAACTGTTTCTGTGTTCATGTGACAAGATTATTACTGTATTAGTCTTATTCTTTTGCTATTCCTGTTAAAAGTTTTAAATATCTTATGGTGTACTAAGATATAAGCATGAGCCTATGAAACAAAACCCCAAAGGGCTACAAACTGGTCAAGAATAACTTTATCATTTAGCTGCCTGTCTGACCATATAAAAAAGTCTCTTCTGTGTGATTTCCTCCAAAGTTCATATCTGCTTATGTAATAGTTAGAAAACAAACTGCTCTCTGAATGTGACTTAAATGACTTTTTTACAACACTGCGTAGGCTACCCTGACATCTACATTGCTATTTATTTCTTTCTGGATTTCTTCTCCCTTTTACTAGGTTTCCTATTATTCTCTCAACAAAAATGCAGAATGCTTACTGCGTTCCAGGCATGTGATATAATGATAGATAAGGAATTACAGCTGTCATCAAGGAATTTATAGATTGTGGCCCCAACCGTGTACAGGAACTGGAAGACTCATCCCAACGTCACCATTATAGTCCAAATCACTTTATGTTTACAGGAAGAAAACATCACCAGAATTCAAAAGGAAGAGAGCTTTCGCAGAGAATCCCATAAACAAATGAAATTTACTATAGAAATCCTGTTGTTCTAGAACACATATACTTGAACCCAAGATGGTTCTAGACAGGGGATTGCCAGAGCTAAAGAGCATTAGCTTCCAGCTGCCCCCAAAAACAAAGCCACCCACCCAATGGAGCATTATTGGTAAAACACCAAGCAAACCTGTGTGTGTGCGTGTGTGCGCGCACACACTTGTGTATGTTGTGTGTATGTGTGTGTAGCAAAAGACTTTTGGTAGGTGAGCCTTCTGATGCTCCTCAAACCATTTCCCAACTGTGACACTCTCAGAGGAATAGGCCCTGGGCTGGTTACCCATAGGCCCTGGTAGGGCCAAGGAGGCAGGGAGTGGACTGAAGAGAATATTGATGCCCGTATCTGTTACAGTAAATGCCTTTCCTTTTGGGAAATGGGGGAATAGACAGATTGACAAGAGAGATCCTTCTAACTTCAACTCACCAGAAATTAACAAAAAAAGCAGTCTCTGAAAGACTAGTCTCATGGCCCATACAAAATGGGCTCCTATCCATGGAAGAAAATATCAAAGGGGAAAAACTGTCTGGGAAGGATAATAAGTCACAGTAAATTAATGGTAATTCTGGCCAAATGGTAAAAGGGGTCCCTCAGCCGGAAGGGTAGGGAAAAAAACAAATAAAATATGATTTAAGCCACAATATTTGTAGCTACATTGCAAAAATGTGATGTTTCACAAGTAAGAATTCAGCTTTAAATGATATAATACTAATAGTTCCTAGGTCAATAAAGAATTGCTCCATCTGATGGCTAAAAGTTGAGGTCAGAGATGAAATGACTGAGAGCTTTCTACTCTCCCACCTTGCAGGGCTTTTTCCAAAGGCTCAGTGAAATGGCTGACCAGACCCATAAAATGACAATACAGCTCCTCCACTGACTTTCTCCTTCAAAGCTGCATCCTTGAACTCGAGATGAAATAAATACAGCATGATACAAAACCTGAAGATATATTTATTTCCCCCAACTTTAACTGTTTTCCCCAGAAGAAAGGATAACCACACCTGGTAAGCTTTGTGGGGCAACCCCCATTTGCCAAGGCCTCCCACATATACCATCTGTATGGAGTTTGCCTGGGACTGCTCCTACACAAACCCAGTAACTGAAATTCAAGGCCTTGCCACTAGTCTTGCTGATGTTATACCATTAGGTTCCCATTTTTTTCCCAACCTGTCTATTAAAACCTAAGAAAAACAATGCCCATGGTTTATTCCTCAATAAAATAGTACAAGAACTCATTTTTTAAAAAGATTTTATTTATTTGACAGAGATCACAAGTAGGCAGAGAGGCAGAGAGAGAGGAGAGGCAGAGAGAAAGGAGAGGAAGCAGGCTCCATGCTGAGTGGAGAGCCCAATGTGGGGCTCGATCCCAGGACCCTGAGATCATGACCTGAGCCAAAGGCAGAGGCTTTAACCCACTGAGCCACCCGGGCACCCCAAGAACTCATTTCTATGCTATCTGATTAAGACTGATTAAGAGAAAGCTCTTTTCTGTTTCAGACTGAGGATAGCCAAAAGAAGTTATTTGGAAAAATTTCTGGAAGATACTAAAAGGCACAAATAAGATGGAAAAGAAATTTGTGGAGGTCTATGAGTAATGAAAAATAATAGTCTCTTATGTAAGTATCAGGACTTTAGACCTTGATGGCCTGTCAAAATCTTATTTTAAAAATTAAATGCTTTCATAACATTGAGAATTTTTTAAAATGAAATCTTTATAGTTTTAGGCAGGTATTCAGCATAAGGATTAGGAAAAACTGAAATAAAGAGAAGCCCCAGTCTGGGTGGTTATATTAATGACCATTTAATTTGAAGGGAGAAAAGCCTAGGAGATATAAGCCCCAAAGAAATGGAACTAAAGAGACTGACATCAACCTCAACAGAGTTAGTGATTAAATGGATTACAGAGAAATTGGCTACTTGTATTTCTAATACTTCTATTCATCAAGTGGTCTCCAAAAAAAAAAAGATATATATAGATAGATAGATAGATAGATAGATATAGATATAGATATAGATATAGATATAGATATATGGCTCTTGCTTTAAAAAAAAAAAGTTGAGAAGGCATTCTCAAAATACACTTATGGGGGGGTTACCTAATTTCTCTTATTTATGCCTATAATTCTTTTCTTTTTATGACTGATTTATTTTCTGTCCTTTGCTTATTGGTTGGACTTTACTCAAACACAAGTTTCACTAAAGCTGTGGATTGAAATCCACACTGACTGCTTTACAATGGTAAAGGCATTACTAATCCTCATGGGATGTTCTAGTGGTCTCTTTAAAACTAAGCCAACAATGGTACTTCCATGAACAAAACTTCAGGTATTAAAGGAATCCTGATCAAGTTGAATATGAGGATCCTACAATAAAAGGACTTCAAGGAGGGGTGCCTGGGTGGCTCTGTCAGCATTGGCCTTTGGCGCAGGTCATGATCTCGGGGTCCTGGGACTGAGCCCCACATCAGGTTCCCTGCTCAGCAAGAAATCTGTTTCTCCCTCGCCCTCTGCCCCTCCCCTCCACTCATATTCTTTCCCTCTCAAATAAGCAAATAAAATCTTTAAAAAACTTCAAGGAGCAGCCCACCACCACACAATAAATGTTTAATTCACGGACACTATGTCATTCAGTCCTGTTTATCACAAGACAGTATTTATTAGGTTTGCAATATTTTAACCCATGTTTTACTAAGAACACTTATATTTAGGACTTCAGCTGCCCAGCATTAAAAATCATTTTCCATTTCAAGCAAATATTTTATGCACTCTACTA